GCGCTGCATGCAGTAAACCACTCAGTTTGTTTCCCAGTCCTCGTGTGGATGGCGCTGCGGTTGCTTCCACTGTGGAGCTGCACATGCTCTTGGGCATGTGTTTCAGTGGCCACAGCACCCATTCCTGTGGAAATACGTACTGCAAACACCTCTTAAATGGCCTTATTTCTCCAGCCTTTGCCCCTTTCTAGTCACTGCCACATAACAGCCACAGTGATCTTTTGAAAACATAAATTGGATCCTTCCCCCCTTCTCCACCTTGCTCAGAAATACCAATGGCTTCCCTTTGTACTAAGATTAAAACCCAGAGCCCTCACCATGGCATACAGGCCCTACAGGCTCTGGCCCCTGCCTGCCTCTTCTTTTTTTTTTTTTAAGCCTCACCCGAGGATATTTTTCCATTGCTTTTTCAGAGAGAGTGGAAGGGGGGCAGGGAGGGAGGAAGAGAGAGAGAGGAACATTGATGTGAGAGAGACACACCGATTGGTTGCCTCCCCCATGCGCCCCATCTGAGCCTGCACGCAGCCAAGGTACATGCCCTTGACTGAAATCGAACCCGAGACCTTTCAGTCCTCGGGCTGACGCTCTAACCACTGAGCCAAACAGGCTAGGGCTGCCTGCCTCTTCTTTACTCCTACCTTGTTTGCTTCCTCTCCCTGTCATCCTTTCATCCACTCCAGCCTGTCCCTCCGTCCATCTGTCCATCCATCCATTCAGTTTCAAGGTGCCCTCAGTGTGCCTAGCTTACTGTCACCTCAGGACATTGGCCCTTGCTGTTCCCTCTTCCAGAAACACTCTTCCTCCAAATCATCACCTACTTCCCTTTCCCCTATTTAAGGTCCTTGTTCAAATGTCATCTCTTCAAAGAGGAATTTTAAAGTGGCCCCCACTCACCCTCTATCTTTTTACTCCACATTTTTCTGATAGCACTGATCACCATGTGAACTTCTAGCGTGTATTGGGTGTGTGTCTTCCTCTTCTGGCATGAAGCATTCATGAGGCTATCTGGTGGTTATCCGCTGTGAACCACTGCCGAGAGCAGTGCTGTGCATAGTAGGTGCTCAGGAAATATTTGTTAAATGTAGTAAAGACACTAGCACGGGATTTGGTCAGACACTCCCCAGTTTGACACCAGCGTCATCTTCCAGCCACGTAGCACGGGGCAGGTCCCTTGACCTGGCACTCCTCACACTCCTGTCTCCATCTCCCGGGATCTTGTGACTGCAGAGTCGGATCCGGGAGATTTGGGCGGGACCTGAGATGCTACCTGTCTTCCCAGCTCCTACGCGGGACCCGGGCTTTGAGTGGCAAGGTCTTAACCCTCTGAGCCTTGGTTTCCACCCTTGTAAAATGGTTCGTTGTGTAAAACAAGGGGCAAAGTGCATGCCATGCACCGTGCTGGGACTTAGCAGGTTCTTGGTAAGCATCTATTGCCCCCCCTCTGGGCATCTTTCAGGGCCTGAAGCTTGAAGTCGCCTTGGGTTTTCTCCTCTGGTCCTCTTGTCCCTACAGATTTAGTTCCACATAGGCCCTCAGGGGAGCCTTGCCCATTGTATTTCTCCATTGCTGGCCAGCCCTGCCTGTCATGGGCAGCGGTTTGGGGAGGATTCTTGCATTTTGGCAGTCATGAGGATGTTATGCAAATGAGATGCAAAGCAGAAGCTAATGAGCCCTGATTGCATTTGCCCTGGGAACACGTGGGATAACTGCCTGGCTGAGGCGTGGGGGCAGTGAAGGCTCTTTGGGTTGGGTGAGAAGGCAGTGACAGAAGGTGTCAGCTTCTCCTGGGGGCCCAGGGCAGCTGCTCTGTGGTCTGGGTGAGTCCACATTTGTAGTCTGATCCTGCCTGTGGACTGGGACATGGTTAAGGTCCAGGAATAGGGGCTGAGGTTGGGCAGAGGTGTGTGTGGGGGGGTGTTCCTGGACCTGTCTGGGCCTGCAAGTGGGGGAGTAGAGGGCTGCAGACAGGTGACTTGGAGGCCCCTTCCTATAGTAGATGGGCCTGGATCAGGCTGACAGTGGGGATGAAGTGGGGAAAGGTAGATGCACCCTGGGTTGGGGAAGGATGAGGTGACGGGGTCAGCTTCTGCCACAGGCCGTCTGAGTGTGGGAGGCAGAACTCGGGAGTCTGCCAGGCAGCAGATGGGGCTGGATCAGGCTGACGGAGGGGTGGCCGGGGGCAGCTGTCTTTGGTATCCCTGGATAGAGCTGGCTCTTTAGTGGAAAGATGATCCTGGGCTGGGGGCTGGCAGGTGGGCAGGGGGCTCTGCTTACAGAGCTTGGGAACTCAATCCCTCCCCGCCCCCCAGCTGAGGTCTTTTCACTTTCCAGGGAGCCTCTGCTCTCAGGTGCTAGGTATCCCCACCCTCCTGGCCTGGGCCTCAACCTGACCCTGCTGAGGACCTCCAGGCCTAGGGACACCCAACTTCAGCCTTCTAGTCCAAGGAAGGCCAGGCTGGAAGTCACCTGTCATTCTGGGGCCCTCTCTTGTGCCCACTATTTGACTGGCACTTCAAGTACATATGATCCTGTGCTGCCTGTGATCCAGAGCTAAAAAGCGCACTTGACCCTGAAACTCCTATTAACTGGGACCTTTCTTAATGGAACCAATGTGGAACACTGGCAAAAACTTGGCAAGCAGAGGGTTTAAATCCCAGCCCAGACATTTATTGGCTTTGTCACCTTGGGCAAATTGCTCAGTCTCTGAGTTCCTGTTTCCTTATGTGTCCTGTGACCTCACCTGCAAGGTTGCTGTGACAGCCACAGATGCTGCAGGAGAACAGAAGTTCAGTATCCACTAGCTTGTCACCTCCAGGGTGGGGACTCTGGCCCATGGTTGTGTCCGGCACCTAGGACAGTCCCTGCATGTGGCGGGTGTCTGGCAAATAGCTATTGAATGAATGAAATGCCCTGTTTCACCTCTTCCAAGGTGATTTTCCCCCTCACATTTGACTTCTCTGATAGTAGGATGTTTTGTAAAATTTATAGCACGCCTGATTGAATTGGCGTTAGTCTGGTGATTGAGAGGGATCTTCGATGGGATAGAATATTGAAGAGCCCATCATCAACAGGTAGCTTCTGGCTTCATTTTGGGGGGCTTCTAGTTATTTCTTATTGTATCTGCCCTCTCTGGGCTGTGCCAGGTCCCTGAGAGTTACCCTGGGGCACAGGGCTGCTGTGACCCCTGCCTGAGGTCCTCTGAGGTAGGGCCTGGCTGGGAACAGCTCATCCTGTGGGGCAGGGTATGCGTCCTGGGCCCCGATCCCCACTTGGTCTTCCCCCTCCACCTTCCACCCCTCTGCGAGATGTTGTCCCTCCTGGGGGTAGCAGAGCTGTCTGAGGCATGGAATTCCCTCTGAGGAGGAGGGTGGGCCCACTTTACTCTACCCTGTCATAGCTCCAAGCCCCAGGACTGGGCAGCAACCAGGAAGGTGAGTGGGGATGTCCGTGAGCCCCCTAGGCCAAAGGGCTCTAGGTAGGATCCAGTCTGGACCAGGCAGAGGGAGGGAGGGACAAGAGGGAGGGTGGGCTCTGTCTCCATGCCCACTTCAGTTCCCTCCCGGGGCAGAACTGAGACAAGGTGGGCAGGTGAGTGTCTGATCCCTAGGGTGGGTACAAAGCATCGTCAGACCCTCTCCAGAGAAGTGGCTCATTATTCAGACCTCTGGTTGGGACACTCGTACTGTATTACTGATCCCTTCTAATGAGGCGAGGGTTTGGGGCGTTGAGTGTGCAGCTGTGATTTGGTGTGGGAAGGGTTTGTATGTTGTATGTTCTGGATCCGTGTGGATGTGTGTGTGTTGTTAGTGTTACAGTTATGTGTACGTATATGTGTGTTACTCGTGTACGTATAGATACACAGGCTTGTGGAAACGCATGTGCGCAAATATGTGTAAGTGTGTTGTTGGAGTGCACATGTGCATGGATGCACGTGTAGCGCGAGCCAGGATGTCTGCTCTGAGGGGTGAGAGCTGTGGCCTGCGGGAGAAGCACCAGAGTTGGAATCAAGGGTCTCACTGCAACAGTGAGCCCAGGGGCCGTGGAGGCACAGACAAGTTGTTTTGCTGCGGTGGGCCTCAGTTTCCAATCTGTGAAATGGGTGTGGAATTTCATGGAATGAGATTGTGGACGAGCATCTCACACGCACCCTGGCCCAGAAAAGACTCAGAATGAAATGTTGAGGCCTGACCGACGGCGGATGCCTAAGCAGAGATGCTTGCAGAGCAGGCACTGGGATTTTAAGGAGCTGCGGGGAGTGCGGGAAAGGTGCCGCTGTGTCTAGTAGGATGTCGGGAGGCGGGGTCTTGAGGAGAAAGCGAGGAAAGAGGCGGGAGCAGGGTCCCCCCAGCCCCCCCAGCCCAGGGCGGTCACGTGAGCCTGCGTGTCCAGCGGCCTCTGTGAAGGTGGATGCGGGCGCCGGGTGGAGGGCGGGCGGCCCCTGGTGTACGCGGGAGGAGGCTGGCCGTGCGGCATTGCCCGGTTGCCATAGAAACGAGCAGAAGGAGGTGGGTGGCGGG